AATTACTTTAGAAAAAACTAACTACTTATACCAAATAGAGTTTAAGTTATTCTTGAAGTATTGAACATATAGGTATTTAGTTTCTTTCTTTCTTCCAAAGTAACTATCATGATATTTACATAAAAAAAAACTTATGGGCTGAAGCCTCCCTAAAATTAAGTCAAGGGTCCGTTAGTCTACAACAACTTTGACCATTTGCTGTTGGTTACTCGGTGCCACGCTGATGTGAAGAAGCGGTTATCCGAACTTGCAGAAATAAAAAAAATTAGATGTTATATATATATATATATATATATATATATATATATATATATATATATATATATCTTAATTGTCCCTCCTCAGTCAGGCGGCCCACAGTGGGCCGGGTAAGAGATGACTCGGGACATCGGCTAAATCAATTATTTATTTCAATTAAATTATTCAATAAAACAGTGAGAAATGTTTATTCTGCCAACTAAGAATATTCTCGGAAACTCCACGAACAACACAAGATATCAATAAAACAGTTTTTCTAGTTTATGACGTTCTAAAAAAAAAAAAAAAGATTAAAATGAATGTGGGTTTTCCCTTACTCATCCCACTGTGCGACATCCCTTTGTGCAAGTGATTTTTTGGACAGATCGGCCTTGGTAAAGTGTACTCTCAGTCGATTCTGAAAGGGTTTATTTAATACATATTAAAATCGTTTCGTATAACTTTCTTTTGTTTTATTTTTTTTAATGACAGCAGTTAGACTGCTCAGCATGCTGTATTATTTAGCAACTAAACATAATTAAGCATCCATAAAATTCTATTATAGTTCTCTTCAGTCAACATTTGTTGTGTCGTTAGAGTATTATCAATTGAAATTATATTAACCTCACACAGTTATTCTTCAGATTATTCTGTAAGATTTTGGGCGTGTATCAACGAGGACATCCTCCTGAATTGGATTGAATTTTGAGTATTTTCTATTTATTTTCCTGAGTTACATTCTATTTCTCTCACCTTTATAATCATGTTCTTTTTTTTTCTATTTAGTTATCGTATTGATAGATCCTACTACAATTCAGATATCATATTGATAGATCCTCCTACAATATTTTTCAAATTTCCTTGCGATTCTATAATGATTAAGAAAAATATACTACTAATGGCGTTATTTTTTATTTTAATTACAATTTATTGCTCAATATGTGTAGTTTTTTAAATATATTTTTTTTAGTTGTTAGCGAATAGTTCAATTTCAGCAAAATATAATAGATCCTCGTTAGCAAGAACTAGATGGACCGAATCTTGTTTAAAATTTTATGTTAAACGAGTTTTCGTTCAAACCGAACAAGATCGTCGAATCCGATTGATTTAAAGTTTTTCTATAGCTACATTTTTCGACGGTATCAAAACAGAAAATCTTTAGCAAGTCTTAAAACAAAAACAAAAAAAAAAAAAATGAAGATTTTCAGTGAAAAGTGTTGGAAAGCGATTGTTCTTCATCTTTGATCGGGAGAAAAAACAAAAATCGATACATTTCATAATAGATTTTATATAACCTTGACCACAAAAACTATCACTTACAAATCCTTTTCTAATAAAAATAATAATTTATTTATTTTAGCGTTAACGTCTGTCTCCTCTGAATCCGCCAATTAATTTCTGTATATCTACATGACATGCTATGAGAAGAATACGCTTTGGCGATGGTTAATACATTGATTCAGGAATATAAACATGTTTTAGCCATTTTCTTGAGCGCGAAACTCTCTAAACCATATTTAAACGTAATTTTCCACTCATTACAAATTTAATAAAACTCAATTGAACTTTAACTTATTTTACGAAAGTGGAGATTTTATGCAATGAGTGCTGTTAAAATTGAAGGTAGGAAATGCATTGTTTTCAACTAGACCAAGAAATTAGTTCGTATTATCCGACATTCTGCTTTAACCGAGTTTATGATGAGGAAGGGTTACTGCATACCATTGTATGAAAAGAAAAAGAAAAATTAATATTTTTTTAATTTTGGTTTTGTCCCAGGAATAAATTAATAAATTTTCTTTTAGTCAAAATTTCTATTTTTAACCAAGGTAAAACTAATTCCTGTAACACTAACAAACAATGATGTGTCTTTGGGTTCAGTACATTGCGAGGAAGTACAGTTACAAGGCCAACGGTTAGTTAGGGAGGTGATGGGTCAGTATCAAGTCCAACCGCCAGGTTTTTCCTCTTAATTTTTTATTTAATTAAGAGTACCCACTTATAGAGGCTGGGTTTGCCTCAGGAGGATCTCTCGGCCCCATGGTCCACCCACGGCTGATGAAAATCAGCTTCATCAGCTGGAACCGAACCTGGGACCTTAAAAGCTCTGGAAGTCAGTGCTCACCCACTGAGATACCCCGCTCCCTCAGATAAAACTTATGTTTATATGTTTATCTATGTATATGTATATGTATATATATGTTTATCTATGTATATAATACAAGTAATATATACATAGATAAGTTGCCAATTTACTAATATTACGTTCTTATTCTTTAATTCCTTTTGAAATAATTTGAGAAATATTTGATATGATATCTTCCCTCAAATCGATGACAGCTATTTTGTTTCTGCACTAAAATCTAAGGAAATTTGAATACTTAGTTCAGAATCTTGAAGTCCAAATTGTATGTTACACTATATTCATCTTTGGACTTCCCAATGAGTTCCAGAGTTCCAGGCCTCTCGAATTGGTATGCCAACTTGAAATGGCTCAGTTTTCCGATGGCAATATGTCCTAGGTGTATTCTTCTTCCGAACCTTTACAACCAAAAATCCACCTTATCTTCTTGATTTATTTACTCCTTGTTCCTCTGTCCATTCGTTTAACACGAGATCGCAGGCCACTAATCTATTTATTTCATCCCTTGGAAATGCTTCCTTTAAAAAATGTTTTATCCTGCGTGCTTCCTTGTTTTGTAATTCCTTACCTACCTCCAGACGCAAATCCTCTTCCTTAATCTCATTTAAACACCATTTATTCGTCTACCTTCTCACCAATCAATCTTTCAAACACATTACAAAATACAATGGTCGTACTTTAGAGATGTCACCAACATTCTGCTGTTATCTTACAGATACATATATATTATTTATATTGTTTATCAATTGAAATATGTGAACACTCTCATATATAAGTTTTTTTCTACAATTTCATATACTTACTTAACAAACAACTCAAAATACTTTTCCATCTTTTTCCGAAAACTTCAAAACTGGAACTAAGACAGAAACTGAACTCATATTCTTACTTAAATCCATTAGAACATACTCATAACAAATATACGGTTTCGATAAAAAGACCCACCTACAAAAACTTCAAACCTTCCAATCATAACAAAAGCCCCTTGGTACGTGACTAATGAAACTCTACATAGTGACCTCCACCTTCCAACAGTTGACTAACACATAACGACGATTTTATACTATTTTAAATTAAGATCACAACATATTAATAAGATACATGCCCACCGCTGACATATTTCAGGACATGAGGAGGAGACCAAAAAGGTGTTGGATGAGAGATCTTCTTCATTAAAAAACCTAAGTTATTGAAACAAGTTAGGGAAGAGGTTCTGCTGCTGATTACTCTCCTTCTCCATACCTGAAATGCCATTTGTATATTGTATATCCAGCACATTTGCTGATTGTTAACAAACAGTTGACTGGCGCATATAGATTTATTTATAGCAAAAAAAAAAACACTGCAAATTATTTCACAATGGTTTATTATTTCCAAACCACTATACATCTAAAGTAACATCACCTTCCTAGTTACAAAGAAAAATAAATAAAAGGTGATTCCAATTATATGACTAAACTATTTTTTTTTAATCATTAGTAATATACTAAAAAAAATAGCATTACTTCAGTAACACATTCAAAATTTAAAAACCAAACAAAGGATATAAACATTAGGAGTAGAACATATAAAAAAACCTGGAGACCATATCTTTGCTCCTAATTGTCCGATTTTTTTTTTTTTAGAAAATTCCGTAAACTTTTAAAAAAACATTGATTATTGAAAATAATAAACCAAAATTATTTGAAAATCGCGATATCTGTACTAATAGTGCTTTGATTTCGATGAAATTTCCTTCATTTTGTAGGAAATTTAAATACCTTTGAAACATCTTATCACAATATCGATTAAAAAAATGTATACTTTTTGAGTTATTCGGAATTAAATTTTACCATCCCTCGTAACTTTTTTTTCCAGCTTCTTTTCGTTGACGTATGTTATATAGATAAATTTAAAGGACGTCAAGAAAATGACTTTAGCGAAATTTCATTGAAACCGGTACATTCGTTTAGGAGCTGCAGTCTATAGTAACGCAGGTTTTTCGGCCGCCATTTTGAAAGTAAAAGGCGGATATTAATGTCGATGCAGGACAATCATCTTCGGGTGACCTCAGATTTTATATCTAAATTTATTGTGCTACCAATGGGTAGTTTCTCAACAAGGGTGTTTCATGTTAGAATATTCCTCTGTACACATTTACTTAATGTATTCATACTAATACAGGTGTAAATATCATAATAAAAGTTTTAAAAAAAATATCTAAAATTGAAAAAAATCGGTCCAGTAGTTTCAGAGAAAATGCGCGTACGGCGGACGAACAAAAAAATTTTTATTCGTTTTTCGGATTCTACGCATCCTGAAACGTGAAACCTCAAATTTTGAGAGGGAGTCAAGTTTATGAATTTTTTGATCGATCACAATGGTTAATTATTGAAAATAATAAACCAATATGTTTACTTATGCTTTGTTATTTTAATTTTAGAGTCAGATCATCATGTTAATTAATTATTTTTTGATTGTCTTTTAGTGCCAGACAAATGTCACTTTTCTATTCATCATTATTGTTCTTAGAGGACTAAATGTATTACAATAAAATTTACTTTTCTTACTTTAATGATCCGAATTAGATTAATGAGCCAGTTTATCCCAGACCTTAGGCATAGACCAATCCTCTTCCCCTATGTCGTGTACTCTCGTCGGCCGCAGAAGGACGATCCCTTGGACTACGCAGATGGCGGAGGGCGGTCGGGGGCGGATTACATGGTGTACGTACGAGGGGCGGCTGTCGCAAGTCGTTGCTCCACCACTTCTGGATAAATAGAACCTGGGCCCAGTCTTCGGCACAGTCAGCTCACGATGGTCTGTTCGGTAAGTCCCATGGCACAGCTCTCTAGGGGGTTCGACCAAAGGGTTAAATGTATTTTCTCTTCAAATTCGGATAACAGTACAACAAACATAGATTTAAAAAAAGAAATGAATTTCAGATAGCCTTATTTATTATTAGTTTAATTTTCACAGAAATCGAATCTTGGAAAGCCTAATTGAAAAACCGAAGGAAGTTAATCTAATACATTGAAATTATTAAGTGAAGATATAATTTGGTATTATTGTTTTAATTAGATCTAAACATTGAAATTTGTGTTTCGATTTCAGTTACCGCCCAAATAATTTATTTAATTTATATAAGGTATATTAAAACAATTTAATAACATTTTTTTTATTATTATTATGGCGTTTCGGGATCCACTTTATTATCCCATTTTCAGACTATACAACAAGAAACATTTATGTTATTTGTATTTATATTTTTAAATGCATATATTTCTATTACTTATCATACCAATAACTGTTTGCCAATTTTACTCATTTCTCATCTTTCCATCGTCTAATTTATTAAAAGACTTGTCATAAATTTTATTATAATAAATTATCCCTAAAATTTACTTTTTTAATTCAATTTTCCATATAGTTTGATGAGATGTGTTCCTTGTGTTAAAAATTTATATTTGAAAGTTTCTTGGTATTTTTTTGGTATTCGTTATAAATTTTATTGTTACAAACAATTTTGATTTGCTTTAATTAAAATTTTTTACTCTGTTGTAAATAAGCATAGTACCAGAGTATCGAAATATAAAAACCATTCGGGTTAAGACCAAGTGATTTTGTCTGTCTTTAGATATCCGCAGGATGTGGGGTAGCTCAGTGGTAGTGTACTGAGCTTACAATGCTTAAAGGTCCCAGGTTCGAATCCCGACTCATGGCAGAAAAATTATTTATTCTGTTTCATTGGCCATGAGGCGACCTCCTCAGGGCACACCCAGCCTCTATAAAGTAGGTACCCTTAATTAAAACAATTAATTAAGGGGGAAAATCTGGCGGTTGAGCGTGATCTAGGTCACATCATCTTGCACAATCGTCGACCATGAAACAGTGCTTTCTCTAAATAGTATTGAACCCAAGACCCTTCATGGGTTGTAGTGGTATAGGTATTTTTTTTTTTATATTCACAGAAATTTTGGATATAATAGTTAAAGACTTTATTTTGATAAAATAATAGATAATAGATATGGTAGGTATTAAATTTCTTAAAAATATATAATTATTTATTGCTTTATATATTGTTACCTGATTACAGGCTCTTACAATCCTCCTCGGCCTTGGCCTCAGCGCTGTTGCCTTAGGTACTGCCTTCGCCTTCCCCGATGGAGATCACGGTGGTCATGGAGGATATGGTGGCGGACATGGAGGACATGGATCCGACGTCGACTATCATGTAAGTTTTGGATAACCAGTTAGAATATATGCTATATATGGCAGAGGTTCTCAGATTGGGTGACGCGATGCAGTAATATTTAATATTGAAGGTCAAAATTGTCAGTTTAGTGAATAGCCATTATAAAAATTAATAATTGTATACTTAATTAAAATCATATTCAAGATAATATATGGGCAAAATTTCATTTGGCCTTTATATATTGCACAAATAATAGGTAAAAATTCAATTCTAATACTGCTCTAAGGATGAGTGTTACAAATTTTTCCAAGCGAAAACTTTTTCAGAGGAGATTAGGACTTTATTTTGTGGTCATTGAAAGAGACCAAGCCCTCATACTCGGCTATGTAATTGCTTATTCGGGTAAAGTCGGCTCGAGTCGACTATTTTTTGGAATTAAATATCTCAGAAACCAAACATCGGATACTTTAAGCGATGGAAATCTTCAACATTTCATCCTCTTTGTAATGAGCTATTATTCAAAATTGTATTTTGTCGTGACGCCGAGCTAGAGAGTCAGAAAGCAAAAAACATAGCGCCAAAAAATCAAACAATAACAACTGAACATGTGATTAAATATTTTAATATTTAAATACGATGGAAATTTCAGAAACCAATTTTCTGAAATCAGTATTTTTAATTATCCGTAAAAATAAGAAATTAAATGTTTTAATTCGATCTGTTGCACTCGATAGTGTTTCGTCACAGAAGTTTTATTTAAATAAAGTACCAATACTGCAAAATTGTCTTATACTAAATTCAATCAAAAGTATTCATCACATTAGTTATCATAACACTATTGCTTCATTTGTATTCTATGATACAAATTACGATCAATCAGAGCAAAGTTTACCAGAATGTTAACATTTACTTTGAATGTTATTGGTCTTTCTTGAGTCAAGCCCTGATGAAGTTCTGAACTTTGGGACGAAACGTCGGCAAATATAATTTTTTTATTTTTTTGCTGAGCACCGCAAACAACTTCTGTTCAGTAAATGCTATTACTTAATTTGTATAGAACAAAAAAAAAATTCATATTATTAATCCCGCCATGTTGATGTCACTTCTATTGTGTAGTCTTAAGCATGCATAGTTTATTTTTTGTCTGCGTCCGGTCCCATCAGTGTGCCACGAATTAATTAAAGGATGCTACGAAAAAAAAAATTATCTCAACAAAGATCCCGCGACGAAAAATGTTTCAGGATCGCTGAATGGGATAAATCACCACTTTAAGCGAAATATGCCAAACTATATATATCAATAAAAATTTAGTAACCATATTGTTAAATTAATACTCTGACAGAGTAAATATGATAATTACCAAAGGTAACTTTATTTTAATGTCAGAATAAGTGCTTACTTGTTATTTGGGTACGGAATTAATCTTGCCCATATTTTGTATTATCCTTGACAATAAATTCACTAAAATATAACTTACCTTTTTGAACTTTCGATTTTTCTTTAAAGGATACGAAAGGTAAAGTTGAAAAGAGACGTTTTTTTATTATTTCAGCTGCAATCCCGTTCTGTTATTTTTATTTAATTTTTTTTCTATAAATATTTTTGAACTTTATGGCATCGGATTAATGTTTATCGACTAAAATACCTCAAATCTAGGGATTTTTAAATTTTTTAATTCAAAATTCATAAGCTTAGACTATAATGTTCATTCCAATAATTCAGGATCTTTCAGGTCTCAAAAATACACTCCCAAACAGCCCCGCGAAATCTTCGTTGATTAGAGGATAAAATTTTAAAAATATATAAAATTTATTAAATAACTTAAATTCGAGGTTACTGCAACATGTATTGCACGAGTTGTCTCTCTTAGGAAGCTTATATCGCGGCTGAAATGTCATTTATAGAACAAAAAATTTTTTTTCATCACAATCTTGGCTTCAATGGCCCGCAGGATTTGTTGAAGGTTTAAATGCGGCTTAGTTGAGGTCTCAATGTGGCCCGTAGGTCAAAACGTTTGGAGACCTCTGAAATAATTATAGTTTCTCCTGAGACTTCTTATGACGTCAGGCAAGGAGCAATGAACAAAACTTCTGTTCTCTATTACATAAACCGCGGTTAACTAAGCTTTCGTCCGTTTTATAACTAGAAACGGAAGCATCTCAGCAACGGCAAATACTTGTGAAAGTTTCTTTAAAAAAGATTAAATCCTCGTGATAAAAAATACATAAACCTAATTCTTGAAATTGTCTTATTTTGTTCTTGAAGGTTATTCAAATAATAATAAATAATAGTTGGCGAATCAGACCATTACTATCTTCCTTACTCTTTCTAAACTGTTTCAAAATTGTCTGAGTAGATCTTGGTTAAGATGAAGCAAATGTGGAACTCACGCGTGTGAGATTATTCGAATCTCTTCTCAAACATAGATTTTAATAACATAGTTTTGTTTAAAATTCAGGAAAAAAAATTGTCTTCCATGACACGAATATCGCTCCTAAAAAGAAAATCATTAAGTATGAATGAGAAGTTCGATCTAATGAAAGACGTAAAAAGTCGGGTGAAAAATAAAAAATGCGGCAAAACAAACGAGGTTACTTATAAAACGATATCAAAAACTTAAAAAACAGTACTTCGGTTATTAAAAATTTGAAAGTTTTGCCGAAAGATTCGAAACGATTAATACATAGAGCTTCATAAAAATCAATTAAGCTATATCGAAATGTGGTAGATTTATGTTATTGCATGCGCACCGTTGAGAAATTGGCGTGGTTACTTCTTTGGTTCAAAAAAAAACATAATTGTAATGGTTTTTAGCATAATAAGAATACAATTCGTATTTGTCGATTTGTATTTAGCAACAAGTATTCGTTAAAACGAGAGAAGTTCAGGCAGTGACGAAATCTTGTTCTCTTCCACCTTATTAATCCGTAGTGCGGTTTTTGAGGTATGACCTTTTTTTTTATGTTACGAGTTTGTAAAATTGTTTGAATAAAAGTAAATGCAATAAAAAAAAAAAAATAAATTGTCGAAGGCGCAACATAGATACAGAAGAATGTTACAGGTTTCTTCTCCAATACTAAATTCGTAAGCACAGTTTCTCCAATACTAAATTCGTAAGCACAGTTTGGTATTGGATATATATATATATATATATATATATATATATATATATATATATATATATACATATACAGTAGCGGTTCCAGGATTTAATTTGGGGGAGGAGTTCAGCTTTTTTATATACATAGAACGATAATTAATTTGGAAAAAATAAAGAAACTAACTACCTATTTGAATTTGGGTTCAAGTGATTCTTTAATAACTTCAATAATAGTTCTTTTTCTTTGAAATGTACTTTAAGGAGAGAAAAAGAGATACACTTTTCATATTTTTAGATTTAAAGTAGAAATAAGCCATCGAATTCCTCTCGTATCGAATCCTTACAATCCACAATCCTTCGTAAAATCCTCACTGTTCCTTACTTTGTCACAAATAAGATCATCCATAACGACGATAATGTTCCTTATGTTTCTGACCTGGCCCAATGCAGATACCTAACCTTCCCTAGCATACTTCAGAACCATCCGAACCCTCTCGTTTCTAACCTTCCTTCCTCTTCGATCCCTGACAACCCTCCGAGGCGCCTGAAAAGAAGATGGCTTCGAGATCTCCTTTTATAAATACATTTTTAGAGTGCTACCAGTGGGTAGTTTCTCAACAAGTGGTTTCATGTTATTATATTCTTTTGTTCGCATATACTGAATGCATTTTTATTTGTAATACAGTTGTAAATATCATCAATGAACAAAAAAAAAGAAGTAGAAATGAATTAAAGGATGTGAAATTTATATTGATGTATCATTAGATGGTTTATGGCTCTTTTTTTCTTTTTTTCCATGTCCATACGAAAATGTTTTTGTTATTAACTATAACCATCTCGCTAGGCTCACCCAAGCTACAAATTCGAGTACTCAGTGCACGACCCCCACTCCAAGGACTTCAAGTCGCAATGGGAGCACCGAGACGGCGACGTGGTGAAGGGGTTCTACACAGTCAAAGAGGCCGATGGCTCGACCAGGGAGGTCCACTACACCTCCGACAAGAAGAACGGCTTCAACGCAGTCGTCAAGAAGCACGGACACGGCGCTCACCCTCACGTCTACGGCGGCCACGGGGAAGGCCACGGCCACGGCCATGGCCACCACTGATTTATCTTGTAATAATAAATAAGGTTTTGTTGTTGTAATAAGCTTTATTTTATTTTTCTTATCCTAATCCCATACATAACTTATCTGTAATAAAAAAAGCAAATCAACATTATTCCATGGGTTTGAACCATCTCTCTGAATCCGCTTACTAAATGCACATCCTTTCATAAATGTTTCACTTTATCATCCAGGAAGAGCATTATTATTCATGGTCGACCTAAATACTCAAAGAAGGATGTTCACTGAAGACACTCCAAAGATTAAAAATATCCGGTGTAGATTTAAAACAGTTTACAACTTCCTAAACGAATTATGTTAAAGAAGATTTCTAAGGAAGGCTTATATACCACTGACCATTCACTGCTAGTCCATCAAACAATAATTATGGGGAAAAAAATATATTTTGCTTTCAATAACCAATATTTTGACATTGACATTACAAGTCGGCATTATCCATCGGATAATGCGTAGATCTCTTTAAAAAACATCTGGTGTGTCCACTCACATGACTTTCCTACCTATTTCAGACTAGTTTTTATATCTTTACATATGTTCATGAAGAAACAAAAAAAAAATTAACTAGATTTATTTTCCTGAAAATTGATGAAAGATAAGATTTGAGCACGATTTATTTAATAAACTAAAGCAATGCAAACCGGCTTAAAGTAGACCAGTGTAAAAATTTCAATACTCTCTAATATTGCTGATCTAAAACTTTTTGCAACAGATTAATATTGTAAAGTAGAGCAAATAGTGAAGCTTGTATGATGCGGGCTACAGATTTTCTTACTTTCACTTAGTCATATTTTTTCTCTCATTCACCCCTTTCTGACACCAGGATATGAACCCGTAATCGTACATTGGAAATTGAATAGCTGTAACTTCGTTAATAGTTGTCCGAAATGAACGATTTTTATATTGTTTTGTAGGGGATTTCATCAACTTTAAAAAAACAGCATCAGCAAAACCCTAAAAAAACAAAAAAAAAAAAAAAAAAAGAAGCAACAAAATAGGTTCAGTAGTTCCCGAGGAAATCTTGGCACAGACAGACCAATGGCTAAAAATATGTTTTTCGGACTCAGGGGGCTGAAACGTATAGATCCGTCTAAAACCGCATAAAGAAAATTTACCCGATTGCAATACTTTCCTTACCTAGTATAGCTTGGAAAGTAATAAATTAATTTTAATACAAGAACAATTTGTAGTATGAGAGAGCAATATTAACAAAAATAAACTGTTTTATAATATATTTGAGTTGCTTTAGATCAAAACATATTGTAATTCATAATAAATCTTGTAGCCACACCCACGCGTCAGCCTTATGGTTTTACATATACCTATATACTTTAGAATACCATACAGGACTTGAACAACTCCGAATAAAAAAAATCTCAAGTTTTCCAGAATTGAATATTGTTGAAAGCTAAGATTCATGTAATGAGCAGGTTCGTTATTTATTTATTTTATTTTTCTCCCTACCCTGCCTTTAAGACAATACGGGAGTTTGCAGCAGTGACTTGATACACATTCTTCACAGCTAACTCAATCACGGTGTACGCAAATTGAGCACATCGTACATATTGTATGATAAAATTAAGCACCTTATTTATTTATTGATATAATAAAGTAATCTGTGTCAAACACGTACGTTAATAAACAATCCTCCTCATCCACAAATTCTTTCAAACAACTCCTGTTCCAACACCTACTCCACATTCAAACTTCCCCTAACATGTAAAACTACTTGCATCTATACAATGTTTAATTTCAATCCATTGCACGCTTGAAATAACAATTAACAATAAATTAGTTGGTATTTTTATCATGTCAGACTAAGATACATAAATTTGTAACTCTGTTATTATTCTTAGGGGACAGTAGTCCCAGAATAAAATTATTTTTTCATTTCATTTCATTCTTGCATAACAAATCACTGCTGCAAGTTTATCTTTTTACATTATGATAAATTGCTGTGCACACAGCCTGCTTAAATTTTTTTTCTCTCTGGTTTTATCTTCCTCCATCTTCTCCTGCCTTACAGGTACTTCTTCTTCACGCGTACCCAGGGAGAAGTGGGTTGGATCCACTGCTTTATGAGCAGGTGGTTGATTATGTACCACTTCGTCATTATCCCAAGAAAGTGGAGGCTCAAGCACCCACTTTATAAAGGATGGATATGCTACCAGTGATGCCCTCAACCACGGCTGATGTCATATAAAAATAAATTTTCTGCTTCAGTTGGAAAACAAGCTCGGGGGTTAGGAATCTTAACTTAACACATGCAATACTGAAATTAATTAAATCCATAGTTTTAGGGCTTTCCTTAGTCTCAGTTTTTGAACGGGGTATTTTTCCCCCTAAGCCTCTACCTGACCATTTCTGGCAAACGGAGCATTATGAGAAATAACTCTTTATAAATCATGAACCGTACTTATTACAGGAGCTTCACATTTTACCAATTTGTTGTTAGAACTTAGATCTTAAAATTGGGGACACAAAAAAGGAAAGATAACGAAAATCACGTAAAATCTTTAAACTTTGATATCTTGACTGTTCTTAACAGCTGACTGAATCACGGTGTACGCAAATTGAGCACATCATACATATTGTATGATAAAATTAAGCACCTCATTTATTTATTGCTACAATAAAGTAATCTGTGTCAAACACGTACGTTAATAAACAATCAAACTAAGATAAATGAACCAGTAATAGACACTGTACTAGCGATAGACAGTTTTAAATCCATTAACACATAACAGGGGTGACCAGAAGGGGATTTCATGGCGCACCATAAAAATATTTGAGGGGGGAGGTTTGATATGTTTTTTGATTTTTGAGGGGTAGATTCTGAAGGGATTATGAATTTTCGTAATGAAAAATTTCAAACCAGGAAACTAGGGAAAAAACATGGAACGATCCCTATCAACTGTAATTGTATACAAATTAAGATTTTCCTGATTATATTTTCTCTTGCAATTTTTTAAGAACGTGAGAACAATATAATGTCTTGGAAAAGGGTGGGAGAGATCTATACGCCATCGACCTTGAGGGATATGGGCACCTCTGACACATAATAAGCTTTTACGCCCAAAAGAGAGTGCAAATATGAGTAGACTTGCAGCTACAACATTGGGAAGGTGATGCCTGAACATCAAGTGATATGATGCCACAATGGCTGATTGGTAGTTGATTTCTTAAGACAGCAAAGATGGGATTTGTTTCAGGGATTGGTTTCCTTATCATTTTTCTGGAAGAGATAAGTTTGAAATTTTGATTCAATCGTCTACAGTTCGCCATTTCTTAGTTTAAAGCTGGATAATTTTTTTTTTTAATTATATAAAATATCTATTGACTCCTACGACTGAATATTACTCGTTATACGTTTTTCATGATTAATTCACTAATTGCAGATATGAATAAAATAAATTATAAAAGACTAAACTTGCAGTCAATTAAACTCATTTGCAACCGTCAGAACTAAAGCTGTGGTTTACATTAACGCTAAAAATTTCTCTTATAGAGCCTGTTATTGGTACATATACCTTTATCCATTTCAATCTAATACAACTAAATTACTACACATGTGAAACTTTGTACATTTTAATATAAAATATGGGAATGGTCTGACAAATATCAGCAATACAGTTTTTAAAAAAAAATGTATTGAAAAATTATTTTTACTTTACAAATAATACAGCACCTGTACTATCGTACGTAAACTATACAAAAATATACAATATATTACTTGAGAAAAACAATAAAACTGAAATTTATAAAAATTAAATATAATAATTAAATCTGTTTTTGATTATAATCTATCACCAAAAAAATTATTAAATTATCATATTTCAATTATATTAACTGCAATATAAAAATCTAATTGCTCCATTCTAATATATTTCTCATGAAGGTAACAATCTAATCTTCTACACACATAGATTTACAAAGGTTTTTGATATATTCGTAAATTGGTTTATATAAGTATAAGAAAAAATATTGCTAAGTAGAATGATATAAATGGATAACGAACAGTTTGCTTGCAGATAGAAAACGAAATAATCTTCGTAACTAACCTATATTAAGAATGGAAGTTGGATCCTATGTTAGAATTTTGGTTGTAAAAATTTTTCAGCTAATGATTATTTAACTATTTAAGTCCATGTGATACATGATAGAATCAAAAAGTATATGTGAGTATTGGAGAATGATTCATTCTCGGTCCTAAAATGTTACAGGTCTAAAGCGAACATCTCTGCAATATATTAACAAATTCGTGATTTAGAATATTCTATCTAATCGAGTTTGAAGTACTCCCTGATATTTAATGGCGTATCTCTCCTCGTAAATGTTGGTTGGTGATATAAAAGTGTCGCTTGATGAGACTTTCCGACGGAGGGGACGATCAGTAGTATTGGTAGCCTGCTCCGTGGTAGTCGTGGATCGCTGGGTGGTAGGCTTGGTGGAGGCCGTAATCCTCCACGTAGTCGTAGGAGGCTGCGGGCGCTATGGCGTACTCAGGCACCACGGTCTTCAGCACTGCAACTAGTTATCGTTGGAATTAGTATCCTTCTTAGCTAACATACCTACATATCTTATATAACAGGGGAAAATTGAGTTTCTTGTCATAATATTGGGTTATCAGTGGCTAGTGGAAACAAATATTATTCTGATTAGTGTTGCACAAATGCGAGACTGAGACGAGTCTTGGTCTTGCAAACTCAATCTCAGTCATGGTCTTGGTATTGCGCAAGAGTCTTGCAGTTGCTTATTAGCTTATTACTGTAGAGATATTACTGTAATTTTTTAGATATTACTGTAAAGTGCAAGACCAAGACAGATTTTAGGTAACACAAATTCTAATATACGATTTGTGACTATTAAATAACGAGACTGATAATGTTAAACATTTTATTTTGATTTAGTACATATTCACTTATCATCACCTTAAATTTACATCCCTCCTCTATCCCTACAACGCTCCATGCGAATTATCCATTATCTGCAAGTGCTGGAAGTCTTATTCAGTCAGCTCGTTCAGAGCATATGTTATTCTATCTTTCAGCAAGAACGTGAACAAGAGTAATGTCGATTAAATGTTTGACCGCCAGGAACCCAGCCAGCATGCAATCTTCCCACTCTCGATTCGGTCTACCCCCTTGGTATTGCAAACTCAGTCTTAGTCATGGTCTTGGTATTGCGCAAGACCATTGGTATTGCAGTTGCTTATTAGCTTATTACTGTAGAGATATTACTGTAATTTTTTAGATAGGAGAAACCTAAATAAGTCCGAATGAAAAATTAGAGGAGTTAAATGCAAAAGTATATTGGTTATACCAATACTTTAGGTATAGTAACTAATATTCTCAAGTATTATTAACTATTTTGCCTTAATTTTTTTTTGAAAAAATCTATTTTTTTTTACCAGTTCTGGTCTTGATTTTGCAAAAGTCCCCCGGACGTTTACAGCAAATATTAACCTTTTAGGAATTCTCTCGCTACTAAGCCGAACAATTTTACAAGGTCATTTGATTCGTCGCGATGAAATTACCTCAATTATATTACCAGGATACAGTTCAAGCAATTCGGCTTTGTGCAACCGTCTGAACTCTCCGGTTAACTCATCCTTCTTCGATCCGAATATTCTACGCAATATTTTATTTTAACCTTAAGAAGCTCCTCATCCCTTAATGTAAGCGGCCAAGTTTCGCATCCAAAAAGAACAGTAAGTTAGATAATGGTTTTACAGATTCTAATTTTTAAGTTCCGGGACAAGAGGCGCGAGCTAAGTAGTTTTGTCACAGAAAATTAAGAAGCATTTCCCGCCTTCAGTCTAACCTAAATCTCATCTTCAATTTTTTTTTCTAGTTATCGTAGAACCTAGATACCTAAACTTCTCAACCTGTTCAAACATATTACCATCTATATCGATATCACCAGTAGTATCGCCATTTTTGCAGCTAACCACAGATTTTGTTTTATCCGCGTTCATTTCGAGCCCTAATTCTTTACCGGCTTTCATTAACGTTGTCGTATTTAGTTTTATAGTTTCCACTTCTAGTAATTTTACTATTGATAATTTTATGTAGGACACAGTTAATATAGTTACCCGGTTTGGATATTACTGGTACATGTACAGGTACGGGCTTGGGGTGAACTCCTGGAGATTTGCTGACGACGGCGTTGAACCCGTTGATCGGATCGGCCGTGTAGTGTACGGTCCTCACCGAGCCGTCCGGTTCGACGAGGCTGTACTGTCCCTTCACGACGTCGCCGTCCCGTGCCTCGCTCTGCTCCTTCACGTCTCCGGTCGTCGGGTCGTTGACGCCATAGTTGTAGGCGTACTTCGGGTGAGGGTCCTGAAAGAGTTACAGTTTATAATAGTAAAGCAGATCTAGCTGAAAATGTACTTTCATTTGAGCTTTATTAATATTACTATTATAATCCAGAATAAATAGTCTATTCTGTTAATAATGGTTAGGGTTTCTTTATGAAACAAACAAAGATAATACAGAAACGTTTATTGTGGAAGAACACTACAAACATAGAAGCCATATCGAGAGAGTATACATTGTTGTGATCACTGACGTCACATCTGACAGTGTTGCCAGTAACAGTGTTGTAGGTAGAATATACAATAATAAATAACATCAAGTAATTAGTCCTAACATATTCAACACTCACGACTGTTGAAGTTTCACTCTTTAACAGGTTTGTTACGGTAACAATTTATTTATTAAATGATTGGCTTGTCCCACTACTGGAAGGTATCTCTCCAATTCAATAGCTAAGTAATGAGACACAGACATCCCTGAACTTATCCAATCCTATTATTGTACTCACTCAAAACCTATTCGTTTTGGGCAAAAGAACCTAGGTTTATAGTTGTCTCAATTAATAAGATTATAGAAGTCCATTACTGAGAATATGGAAGCTTTTATATAATTCGAAGTATTCAAGTAATCATAAAAATATTCTCTTCCATTCAACATTTTAATAGATATTTAGTTCGTTGACCACTATGATGAATGTCAATACTTTCATTTTTAAAACGTAAACACCCACTTATCCCTGTCGAACAAATCCGATACTTAGGACTCCAGCTTGACAAACGACTCACTTGGAACCCCCGTACCAGACTGAAACGACTAGAAACCGCCCGACGTTTTCGACTACTCCAGCACTTACTAGACAAACGCTCTAAACTGCCAACTATTTACAAAAGTCTCATATATATTACTATAATAAGGCATGTTTGGACTTACGGGATTGAGCTTTGGTGCTCTACTAAACCATCAAATTCCTCTCGTATCCAATCCCTACAATCCAAAATCCTTCGTAAAATCCTTAAGCTCCCAACTTTGTCACAAATAAAATCATCCATAATGACCTTAATGTACCATATGTTTCCGATTTAGCTCAATCCAGATACCTGTCCTTTCATAATAAACTTGAACCATCCGAACCCTCTTGTTTCCAACCTTGCTTCCTCTTCTATTCCTGATAACCCTCCGAGGCGTCTGAAAAGAAGATGACCTCGGGACCTTCTAATATAGAAATATAATTGGAGTGCTACCAATGGGTAGTTTCTCTTCATGTTGTACATGTCATGTTACTTGTTCATATTTACTATTTAATACAGTTGTAAATTTCTTTACTAAAAAAAAACAAAAAAAAAAAAAACGTAAACATGAATTAAGTATCCTAAGGCAACTATAGTAACTAAGAGGCTTTCGGCAAGAATTGAGATTTATCAAAACGATACATTTTAGGGCTTTACATAGGGATTTACCTTGGAGCTAAATCGGGTCTTTTATATCTCTGTCGAAACTTTTAATACACAATTCCATCAAATTTTTTAAACCTCCCAATTTTTCAATAACTTTTATTGTAGTTATAATAATTTTAATTTTTCAAATTGAAATTCGTCAATTTTCCATGAAATTCTCTCTCGAAATGACACCTCATTCATCAAAGTCCACAACTCGATTGAGTTGATAAAAAATAAATAAATAAAATTATACTATTCATATTACAGACGAGAATTTCGTCATAATACTGTCATTTCGATTCAGAAGGATTCTTTCACAATATCCTGTGTGACCGAAATATTTATTCACAAAATAAAGTAAGTTGGTGCTCCCGTTCCTAAGTTTGTTTCTTTGAGATAAGGATTTTATAAACTTTTGTAATCGGCACAATTTATAAATTACCTTCTCGAATCATTTTAAACTTATAGTATTACTAATCGATTTCAGTATCTTCGCAAAAGATTAAGTCAAAATTAATATCAAAAGTCAAAATTTAAATCGAGAACGGCTCGTTCATGAACTGCTAGTTACGTTTGCATCGAATTAGCTTTCTAGACATAAACATTGTATATTATAAAATTAGTTTAATATAAAATGAAATCAGGCGTTGGAACAGTATTGATTTCATTTTCTTTCTATTTCTGGATGCCTATTTTCTAGTTTTGAATAACTGTCGCATCAATTTCTTAAAAATAAATTATTTATGTTAAGATGATCTCCAGGTTCAATTATTCCCAAGTTGTATTGAGCAATAGATTACACAATAAGCCCTATATGTTGTTAACAGGAGTTCTCACAACTTAGTTCTCACGTAGTAACCCTGAGCCCGGCGCACCTTTCACTTCACACCCTCTTATTCGCCATTGTTGTGGGAGATTTTAGCTAATTTATAGTTTAGTAACGCTATTTGTCGGTGCGCTATTACACTTTCGGAGACTTTTCATAATATGTGCTCTAGCTTTCGAAATGAATGAGAATATTTTTTACTATTTAGTTCGAGTAAATATTGAAAATGTTCGCGTACAACAATGTGACTAACTTTGTTGGAAGTTTCAGTTGGTATTTAGATTATCATCAAGATTAAGATCATCGTTATCTAAAGAAGTATAAAATCAATCCCCCCCCCCTATAAATAAACCAGAAAGATATCTTTTTAGTTTTAAAAAAAGTTATCTTACAGATAACATTTCTAGATGACTTTTTATAGGTGACTAAAATATCTCTTCAACCATATGTCTTAAAAATTATCTTCTATCTGATATCTAAATGACATATTTTTTATGATGAAAATTGAATAGTATCCTCGAAATAACACTCATAATCTTAGCTCAGGCTTCATATAAAAATTGAGACGATACCTACCACACTCCACGGGCGGATTTACGGGGGGAGGGGGGCTTTCGAGGTGAAGCCCCCCCAAAATGGTAAAATATAACTATGTTTTATCGAAAAAAATACTAAAAAATTATCTCTTAAAGTATAATTATTCGTGTAATTACATTTAAAAGGGCTTTAGGAATCACTTAAACACCATTTAATATAGATAGTTAGTTCCTTTCTTATTTTCCAAAGTAATTATCGTTATTTTTATGAAAAAAAAGCTTTCGGGATGAAGCCCCTCCCCCAAAATTGAATCCTGAATCCGCTAGTGCCACATTCTAATGGACAGCAAAAAAAAATTTTTTTTGGGTGGTGATTGAATTCTGGAAATAGATAACATAAAAGAAACCACTATTTGATCAGGATATGTGAGTACGTTTTAAGATTTTTTATATTAATCTGCCATACATTTTTTTTTTTACAATTATAGATGGAATTTGAATAAAATGGATTATCATTGTTCATTACATGGCATAAATTACGAAAATTGAGATAGAAATGATTAAAATAATGCTTTGTTTGCGATCTCCATCATCATCAAAAGTACCATTTATACATTTTATGATTATATATACTGTTTTCAATATTATCGATAAAGTAACAGACGAACACATGATGGAAGTTGTAAAACCATGGTTACAAACAGGCAAACGACGCACTACAGGCATGTCGAACAAAATAAAATAGTATAATAGTTGTAGCTATATTTTATGTCGTTATTTTGTAATTCATTAATATGCCTTTAAATAAATTAATCAAATTTCAACAAAGACGTTTTCTGTTTGTTTGTCTTCGAAGAAACCTTAAATCTTTTTGACATCAAAATGTCTTACAGATTATCTTTTAAGTCGTCTTTTTGATGTCTTAAACATGTCTTTTGGTATATCTTTTAAGCATCTTGATCTTGATCTTAAAGCCATCTGTCAGCAATAATTTAGATACATTTTTGCTTGTTGGGAAATGTATTGAATAATTTGAATGCTGACTCTTTACTTGTCACTTTTTATATTGTGTATTATTTTATATATGCTGTGTTCAGTTAGAAACATTCATTAAGTTTTTACCTTCGACGTCCATTAAATTTTAATCAAATACTTAATTAGTCCCTCCGCAGCCTATGAAGCGCATCTAGGGTAAACACTGTTACCATTGTGGGCAAAAAAGTGTCTGATCCTTTGATTGATGTTACGTACTCATTGTGGGGTAAGTGAACCCAACAAACATCTATCAAGTCATCGTCACCAAACTGTCAAAGCTAAACCGTTTTCTATGAAAAGGTAATTTTTTTTTTTTATGTGAAGCCAGAATTTGAAATGTGTCCGATAAGAACAGGCAATCTGCATTTGAACCAATGGCTTCCTCGTTGCTATTTGTTATATTTTGTTCATTTACTTGAGTATTACTATGTATGTTGAATCGTTGATACGCCTTGAAAGTTATAGATAAAAAATGGTTGACTCACTTTAGAATTTAATAAATGAGCTTGACAGGAGAAAGATTACAAAGAAAAGATAGAGAAAGGATAGAAAATAGACGAATGAAGACGAGATAGATTAAAAGTTAAGTAATCTTAATTTCTATTTCTAAGGCAACCCATTGTTTTAATGGGATAAAAATACAAAGGTTTAGTGCCTAATAAACGAAAAAAAAATTAAAATCCAGTATCATGATTACGCTTGCGGAGACGAATTAGAATTTATTTAATTAAAAATTATTGTACAATGTGTTAAAGTAAAAAAGTTAAGCATACTTACTTACTCTCATACTTATACTTGAATACTCATACATAAGCATACCTAAATACTACACGATCACAAAGCTACGAATGTTGATTAATACTCACATGATAATCTACGATGGGTTTATAGAGCAGACCTGCCCACGCCGTTTGCAGCAACAAGCAACAAGGAATCAAAATCTGAAAGCAAAAGAAAAAAGTTTACATTTTGATTACTTTTTGGTTTGAACAGCTTAAATGGTCTTTAGACTATCTATATTTATTTAGAGATGGGTTGAAATGAAATGAATGGGTTGTAGACTGTTGAAATGAAGAATGGTTAGCATGTGCTGTCAAACATTTTTTTTTTTTTTATTGGATTTGCCGACGTTTCGACCCAAAAATGTGGGTCATCATCAGGTCAATGGTTTTAGCCGGACACGAAGTTCCAAGAACTCCAGTTCATGTTTGGGTCGAAACATCGGCAAACTCAATGAAAAGATTATTTTACTATACATCCTGACTATTCTTCATCTTCATATTTATTTAGTGAAAAACGTTAAGAAAAAAAAATTAACTACGATAACCCATTCATGTTATAACAATATTTGATATGATTAGATCCTAAAAAAATTCATTATCTAACGACCTCTGCTTTTTATTCCTTTCTGTTGATGGAATGTTTATCTGGAAATGTTAATCATCAATCATAAAGTTAAACGTTCAGCATCAAAATTATATCATAAAAAAAATTGGTGATTTGAGGTTATTGAAAGACATGAGACCGTCGGTAAAAACAAGCGAGAGACCAGCACATGTATTAAAAAACTGTCTCTATTGTGTAAGGACCAATGCAAGCCAGGCCGATGAATCTTATTAACTTACAGAATCTTTTATTAAG